CTATAACACGTCGCCATTGTCAAAATAAAGAAGTTGCTCATCCATAAAGTCTTGTCATCTCTATACCACTAACTTCTAGAATATCACTCAAGCAAATGATTTTGATATAATTTATTGTGCAGGCATATAATCAAAGAACGGAAATAGTAAGTAAGCAAAAGATGTTAGTCTAACCATGTTTGATCAAGATAAAGTGTGCTAATGTAGACATTCAGTACATGAACTTTGAATATCTTCATACACACCCAAGTTGAATAATCTGTGCATATGCCCAAACTGAATGAACAAAAATGTGAATATGTCCATCTGGAGTAAACACAAAATAATAAGTATATGCCCTAAGTGTTCTGAAAACTAATGGACACTTAGTATCTTTTATGACAGTTTGTCACTATTGTCAGCAGTCTATTCTCATCTCAAGAGACTCCTACATACAGTGAACAGTGACTATGTATTGTTCCTAAACCTTATACTCTACGGAAGAATGGCACCTAATGGAAGAAACGTAAACTGAGGATGAAGTTGATAAGGAACATTTTCTTCGTGACTGCACAATCGATATTCACAAACTGTCGTTTTCATTAGCATTCACGAGAGCAACAACAGCGAATGGAGGCATATGTTAAACCCACCTCCATCAAAATGCCTTACATTTGTTTTAGTGAGTTAGTTAGGTTTACTGACGCTCTAAATAATATGTCAGTTCGATTACATGTTGCTAGCTGATAACTAGCCAAAACTGATCCAGGTTAGTCACGTATCAAACTGATTAAATAACCTGAGTGTGGTTAATATTTATGTACCTCATAGTTCTCATTACGTCCTGGGAGAATGACTTGATATCTCTGAACATCCGGGAGGCTGTTCAAAATGACAACCATATTTTCTCTACAAATTTGTGACTCTAAATAACACGAAAAGGCAACATCAAAAGGACCCCAAAACATAAAATGCAAGACAGTTGTAGCAAAACCTTAAAGCCACACTGGCCACGGTATGTTCTTGACTAGATGTCCAAGAAAGCATACCTTTTCATAGAGACTTAGATTCCCACATTCCCCCTGATTTCAGTCTTGGCTTGTGGTAACATTGCCAATGGCGTACAAGTATGTTTCTTGTCCCTGTGCTACATAGAACGCTCCTCCTTCATGGAACTGACTGAGTTTTGGTTTTACGCCGCTTTTAGCAATATTCCAGCAACATCACGGCGGGGGACACCAAAATGGGCTTCACACATTGTACCCATGTGGGGATTCGAACCCGGGTCTTCGGCGTGACGCGCCAACGCTTTAACCACTAGGCTACCCCACCGCCCCTTCCTTCATGGAACTGACATCCAGTGATATAAAAGTACTTTAAGAAAGGTTTATATAAAACTAATATTCGTAGCTATAGCTGATCCATAATCCTGGATTATCCACAATTCCATGTTATTTTTAAAATAACACGATGTTTATTCACTCATAACATGGACAACAGTGAAGGTAAGCGTTAGAATATTGATCTTCAGTAACCCATGCTTGACACATGTCATCGGTTCCCAGTTGCGCAGATCGATGCTAATGCTGTTGATCACTGGATTGTCTGGTCCAGACTCGATTATTTACAGACCGCTGCCATATAGCTGGAATATTGCTGAGTGCGGCGTAAAACTAAACTAACTCACTCATAACATGGCGGAAGAGTCCGTAAAAGCACCGTGACGGACGCACGGACGGTAATCTGATCTAAAAACACACAGTGAATCGGACGTCGTTTCTCACACGTACAAAAACTCCAAGGGAGCTCACTCCCAGTCGTAAACCTAGTCGAACTGTCGTAAATCGGTTTGATTGTCGTTGCAGTAGCGTTGACCCTAGACTAACAACTAGTTTCTGAAATGAACATATTTTACTTAAAAAAGTTCATAGTAAAAAAAATAAAATATAATGAAAAGGAGCCATGAGACTTTCTTCATTTTCAGAAGCTGAGGAAATCTAGACTTGCCACATTTTCTAGACTTGCGTGGTCTTTCTTGGATATCTTTGCTTCAGGGTCTGTACCACACACTACGTTGACCCTAGCTCTATACATGTCTGAAGCGCCAAACAAAACCCAGAAACACTGAAAGTTACAAGTCACTAACTTGAACTGAGCCATCCGTCTATACTTGTTTAACACGCCTATGTATATTTAGAAAATACGATTATAAAAGTACAAATGCGTGTTTTTGGTTTTATTTGTTTTTGATTAATCATGCCACAACTGTGTTATTCTAAAATACATATTAAAAACACCCTTACAGTTGAATGTCAAACATAACAATCACGTCCACCTTTCAACAGCTCAAGAATAAAAACAGGACAACACAACAAACGACAAAAATCGAAACACCTGCAGAACATTTGTGAGAATTATCTTTCAGTGAGTGTGTGATTGAGATTAGTTTTACGCCGTTTTTAGCATATTCCAGCAATATCACGGCAGGGGACACCAGAAATGGGCTTCACATATTGTACCCATGTGGGAATCGAACCCAGGTCTTCAGCGTGACGAGCGAACGCTTTAACCACTAGGCTACCCCACCGCCCCAATTATCTTTCAAGGCATAAATGAAGAAATTAATATAATTAACCGTAAAGGTTTAAAACATATAAGCATGCACAATCAAACAAATAGAAGCGTAAAAAGCCTTTCCACATTCATAAGAAATCCCTGCTAAAAGCAGAGTCGATTGTACAATTGTGACCATATCATGAGCAGTTATTTATTTCAGCTGCATTACAGCTGTATGATGTTGTTTGTAAATGAATCGTGTCTAGACCAGAAGATCCAGTGATTGTCAAAATGCAATACGATGACAGAGCATGTGTTTATGAATCACTATGAAATAGTGATGACACCAGGTGTTCACAAGAAGGTGAGCGTATCCTGCTCCACCGGTGGCACCCGTCATAAACATGTGCTAAGTCTAGTCAATTGGACACCTGAAATACGTATGGTATACGTCAAAATAGGGAATTGCATCGGGCATCGTTTTTGTCCTTCATATGTCAACCATAAAACCCCCTGAAAGCTCTACTGAGGCCTTGAATGTTGTAACCTTGATCAAACAACATTTGAGCAAGAGTGGTATGACCCTCTTTGAAATCCTGATAAAAAGAGCACGCTCGATTGTACCTCAAACGTTGTGAAATGTATACATCAAAGGCATCAACAATCCTGAAGCTAAAAATATCTAAAACATGTTGATGATGTGGTCAGAGATATCGTCAACTTTCCTAATCACAACATCAAGTGGGATACTGTAGAAATATTTTCAAAATCACTCCAGGACCAAAACAAAATTGACAAAAGCAGTTCAAATCCCAATCATCAGAGACTAAGGAAACCTCATCCCATCCTATAATGAATTGATAAATACAACAGAACAGAGCACACCAGTCATCATTGCTAATGAATCCGATCTCATATTTTGTTCCGTCTTTTCAACAGTTAGCTTCCTCCTACTTTACTGCATTATTGCCAATATCCATTGTTTATCCCTTTGATACATACCCCCATGTTGTCTTAATTAATCCCTAACCAGTGGTCCGGGTTAGAATAGGTCTTCTGCAACCCATGCTTGTGGTAAGAGGCGAATAACGGGATCGAGTGGTCAGACTCGCCGACTTGGTTGACACATGTCATCGTATCCAAATTGCATAGATAGATGCTTATGCTGTTGATCACGGGATTGTCTGATCCAGACTCGATTATTTACAGTCCGCCGCCATACAGCTGGAATATTGCTGAGCACGGCGTTAAACAACAAACAAACAAACAAAACGTAATCCCTGTTAGATAAACATAAGTTAGTTTGGTGCAGTATTACTTCACTCTTGTTTTACAACAGCATAAGAATTTATGCCGCAACGTCGCATCATCATATGATTAAGAAGTTGTTATCCATAAAGTATCATACCTTTCATGTTATTTATCAACTCCTACATTGTTCATAGTTACTAGCGTACCTGCCGTTTTTTCAATCCAAATGCACTGCAGACATAGGTGATGCCATGGGTAAGCGACAAACATAAAAATATTTGTGGTTGTAAAATCATCTTTCATTTCTCTGGTATAAATGCGTTTTTATCTACATCTACTTGGCCATGTTTTAAAATGAGCGATCAATTCATCATATATGACAGTCGTCAGTTACACTGGTACTTGACAGCTGAACTTTCAGTGATATTGTCCAACACATTCGGTACTAACGCCAACCATCCCTTGGGAATACAACCTCCGTCAAATCCGCCACATTTGAGATGAATAACAGCTCCCTCCGAACTTCTTGACAAAGTCTGTATAGCAGATTTGTAGCCTACAGTTGTCCACTGTTGGTCTTTTGACACGATCCATCCTGTTCCTCGCAGATCGATGGTAAATTCCCCTTTTGTTCCACAAGACCTGACCTTCAAATCTTCATTGGTACCATAACAATCTCTCGCATATCCGTACTTTGGAGGTCTTTGTGAAATGTTTGCATACGTGGTGTCACCAACTGAAACGTACATTGTGACTGGATCAACTTTAATTTTAGAGAACCATACTTCACCTTGACGCCCTTTACAAGTGTAATACAAATTTCCTTCTCCCAAGCAGTGTCGGTTAGTCTTACTGGGGTAAATACCATAATTTTCATGGTGAAGTGTCAGGAATTCCTCAGGCTCCCCGCTTGTCATATTGCGACAGTAGACGCGAGTTGGATAGAAATCGAAGTTAGGCAACCTGATCCAGTACTCCCCATCAACACTGGCCGGCCCACACTGCTTCACCTCAAGACAGGATGATGGTACAGCTAAACGACAACCTGTGTACGACCAATTTCCACTCAGTCCACATGCCGCAGAGGCTGCGGCGTAGAAATCGGATTCACATACATACTTCACAATAGTTCCTATAGGAAGCTCCCGAGCCGATACTGTGGTATTTAAAACTGCATGGGGAATGACAGGGAGATCAGACATTAAACAACCAGAAACCTTACAAACTGGTTCTAATTCAGGAATGCAAATGGTATTGAGAGGACACACATGGTTGGTGCACATAGCAGACAGTCGCTGTGGCCAATGTTGAATGTCCGAGAAGAGAAAGCTTGAAAAAGAAATAATGTGTGCGCCTGTGCTATCAGATGACTCATAGTTGAGATCACACTGATGATTTTCTGGATCATAGTTAAATGACACACAATATTTTTTCCCAAGACAGTAGCGTGCACAGGTCATAAGTCCACTTGCGTTTGTGGACAGGATTACAGCATTTGTTAACTTATATTCCCTTTGAACAAAGGGTACATTGTCGGTGCACACTTTCACTGCTGTTTCGGTAAAATCCAAGAGAGTAAGCCCTGTAATACAAGACGAAAAACGACCCAAACATGACTGCCGATTTCAGTCTTCATGTCTAACCTGAAAACGAACAGCAAACGCCTGACCAGCCGCTCAAATGTTCTTTTAAATACCTGATGTTTGTACACGTGTGAGCAAATATCGAAAGCACTTATTACATCCTATAAGTCTTGAAACTTGAAAATTAATTACATAGTTCAATACAGTCCATAAAAACGCACTCTCAAATATATTTACATTTCCTTTCTGATGCATCATTCAATTGATTGACAAAGGTACTGCTCAACGTCAAACATTAAACTAACAGCCTTAGAATGGGTCAATAGTATCTTGAGGCTGGGGTTACTCCACAACACTATCCGAACAGAACAACAGTCTAGGAGTAACCAGGGAGAAAATAATCTGTTTGAGACATCGATGGCAGTTGTTTGTATTTCTAACGTCATTATTTCTAGAAAACGAACAAATTAGTGAGTGAGTATGGTTTTACGCCGCTTTTAGCAATATTCCAGCAACATCACGGTGGTACAATTTAGTCAGTATGAAACTGTAGAATACATATTTAAGTTTTATTCCGGACTGCTTTAAAGCAAGCACATGTTCTGAGAGACATGACACATTCATAGTTGCCACACTTCTGTCAGTATATTCAGTGACCGGATACAGACTTCTGCGCATGCGTTGATGCCGGTTTATCAAAATGCGTATTCAAATACGGAATGTGGATCGGTTCGCAATATAATAATGGTACAAACACAACATCCATCTTTACCTTTCAGTAAATAAAGAAAAATAGAATTACATTTATTTATAATAAGGAAACCTTACTTTTATTACAAAGAGAATTACTTTTTTTCAGAATCAAAAGTGTTTTTCTGTGAAAACATATATAAAACACATATAATCATGAAAATACATTCTGTAAAGAAATACTCCTATTCTTTAGCTAGGCCAAAGTGACCTTATCATTATCCTTATTCCAAAACATGTTATGTTGTTAAATCATATATATAAAACAGGGATGTCCCTACGTGTTTTCAACACTGTTATAAACTCAGGAACATACTTTGTTCCAAACACCATCGTAATTGAATATTCTAGAGTTCATATGCACTTTCTCTGAAAGAAACATTAAACCATATAACCAAGCACAAAATCTTTGTACTTTGTTGGCACATTATTTAGTCACGTTGTGGTCTCGAACAGTTCATGTTCAACATCAGACACATCAGCATTTTGTGGCTTTCTGATATGCTTCTTCACATGCATCACATTTCTCTTTTAAAGCTGGCCATCTACATAACCAACTTCTACAATGTTTCCATACTTATTCACAACAGTTCGTATTTTGTGAAATTTCGTCGTTCTTGAGAGGCATTTAGAAGTTGGTATTCAAGGAAACGGCAAATAGTATGGATGACAACTTCTTCTTTATAGTATCACAACGTTTCTTGGCTATTCCTTGCCCCTTCGTCAAGGGGCTATCACTTAAGTTGTCACATTTTTGTCAAAATACCCCAAGACATCGGCACTGACGAGACACTGTATCAGCTTGACGAACGATTCTTGTGGTTCTTGTTCTCATTCAAACTGTTCTTCTTGCTGATCTAAGCAAAGGCTCTGAAATCGTTGCTAGACTTTCGGTGAATCCTCCAGTTAAGTACGTTTTACGTTTTTGGCGTTTGTTGGCTCCTTCATCTCCAGAAACGCTTTCACTTTTGCTTCTGCAGGACTGACTCCCTCTTCAGACAGTACATGTCCTAGAAACTGCAGCTTTTCCATCCGGAATTGACATTTCTCCGCATTCAAGGTCAATCCTTTCTTCATCAGTACTCTAAGAACTTCTGCCATCCTCAGGTCGTGTTCTTCAACAGTAGCCACATGTACAATGATTTCCTCCATGCTATTTCTAACCCCTCGGCGTTCTTGCAACACCTGTTGTAGTATTTTCTGGAACATATCTGGTGCGCAGCAAATCCCGAATATCAGACGTTTATATTTGTAAAGACCTTTGTGCGTACTGAACGTAGTAATACACCTCGATTTTGGTGAGAGTTCAATCTGGTGGTAAGCAAATTTCACATCTAGCTTGCTGAATTCAGAACATGGCATTTGGTGTCTAATACGTTACACCGCTTCGTGTGCACTTCTCATGTCAACACATACACGCATGTCTTTACCTCCTGGCTTTGGGGTGAGGTGAGGTGAGGTGAGGTGAAATTGGGTTTAACGTCGTGCTTGAGAATATTTCGCTCATATGACGACGTGCATGCGTGGGGATGTGTATGTGCGACTGCTTGTAGTAGCCAAGACTGAAGCTGGTTTTATAGTTTCTAGCCCACTGAGATACCATGCCGCATTCAAGCATGAATACCTCACTCAGACACATTATACTGACTCCGACCAGTTCTTGATGCACCCATTAATGCCAAGCGCCAGACAGGGACCAACAAATACCATATGTTAACGTCTTTCGGTATGACGCAGTCGGGGATCGAACCCGCGACCTTCCGCTCTCCGGGCGGACACTCTAACCACTACACAATGGAGGCGGTCCCTGGCTTTGGGACTCTCACGATCTTGAAACCTGTCTGTTTAGCATCTCTCATTGCATTTCCTTCCAAAGGCTTCTCAATTGTTTTGGATTGACCTTCTCATTCTTTTTGAGCGCTCAAGTCACCACCTTTCTCTAACAACTTCATCCTCACTGTGTGTGAAGAACATTTCCCAATTACCTGGTCACGAATCAGTTCTTCAATCTGTTCAGTATAACCAAATTCACAACTGTCCGAATGGTGAATTGAGAAACTGTGTCGTTGGTTCGACACATGACCCGAAACAAGTCGCGTTCACTCTTGCTATGAGTATCATTTGGATAGCTGTAATAGTATCAGCAGACTGTGGGTTTTAATCCAAGGTTGATGATCCCATAGCGTCATGCCAAATCGGTAAATGCCTACCTCACTAGTCACTAATGCGTTGTCTCATGAGAAGAACAAAAAAATTATACTTCGAAACAGAGTTAAATAGTGAATATATGTAAATAGAGTGTGAATTTGGTTTGACTGCGCTTTTAGCAATGTTCCAGCAATATTACGGTGCGGGAAACCAGGGACGGGGTTTACACAAAGTACCCATGTGGGGAAACGAACCCTTATCTTAGGCGTGACGAGTGAACACTTTAACCACTAGGCTACCACACCACCCATGTAGGTCAAGAAATGGATAACTTCTATCAAACGACCAATAACATTTTGTTTCAGGTAAAACGATTGGGTAATCCAATCAGTCCAAATGATACTCACAGGCACAGGTAATTCTGCAAAACACAAATCTAGTTGAAGCAGATGTGGACAGCTTTTGAGTCAAGTGAGATTACTAAAGTTCGGGACACGCTTTTTCATCTTTTGGCAACGATACAAAACTGTATAGGTCTTTGGGAAAGCAGCCTATGTGTTAACGACGATCTGGCAAAAGCTTCCATCTGTAAATACATGCGCCCACATATATTCATTGCTTTTTTATCCATTGCCTAGAGAGGCAGCTGTCACATTTACAACAATGAACTGAACACGGATTCCGGGCAAGAACGGTTTCCACGAAACCTAGGCTGATTATGAGAGGCAATCAAATATATAACAAAGAATCAAACAAAAGCGAAATACTTCCATGAATATACAGTGAGCTATGTGTACAGGGAATGCTTTCATTTACGAGTCTCTTTGTAATGAGGGACACGACGGCATCAAGTATATATTAACGACCATCTTAATACAGGCATTGTTTACACTCCGTCCTAGGACAAAATAAATGGATATGGTGCCCAGAAACATCAATCAGGGCATTGTACAAGTCCTCCATATATCTTCTTAAACACAATAGGGCATCATAATATACATAGTCCAATAAACAATATGACTTCAAACATCTCATGCAAGGATGCTTATGTCTGTAAAACTCTAAAACCCGCGCACTCAGTAGCACCAATTAAGATTGCATTCACGATATTGACATCTTTAAAGACGGCCGATGTGTTCCATTAGTTCTGTCAGTATAATTGATTCTTCTTGTTTTTATTCAGGTGCTTTTAAGTTCGTGTGATCGATTTTATGTATACCAACGGTCATGCTGTTTCTGCAATGCGAGAAGCGTCTTCAGACTGTTGGCATACCGGAAACTCGAAGAAATGACCGAAATCAAGTGGCGAATACGTTAAAGGTCACATGCAATTAAAAAAACCAAAACATAATTAAAATACAATTCTCACTTATTCATGACAGAAGGAAATGGTGTACTGTGCTTATTGTCGCTGGTCATGTTTTCAGATGAGTTCCCATTCTCTTTGCATTTCCTAAGAGGCGTGGTCGTGTCTGGCAACGTCGAAATGAACGTCAATTAACCTAAGACCTCATGACACATTTGGCGGTTGGTGATTGTGTGGGATGGCATCACTGTGACTGGGCAAGCTCATGGGAAGCCATGAGTGTTGTCCTGTCGATCACGCTACCAAGGTCATGAGTATGAGGCAGTGGGGAAAATTGGGAAATCTTCAGAACGTCTATATGTTGGTAATCTTGATACTGACAAATCATGAGTTATTTCCCAATATCATTACTGTCATTTTGTGGGAGGGATTACATAAGAAGGCATGTTTACAACCAGACAGTTTCAGTTTGAAAGTATAGGATTTAAACATATTTTTTCCAATGAAAGGAACCGGATTGGTAAACAAGCACAAGTTTATGTGAATATCGCTCCGGGATACAATGGAAGAGTATACATGTCATGATGAATGTACAGTGTGAATGATATATAAATGTTACTTTAAAAAAAATAACGCCAATCATTGTTAAACATTACATGTCATATAAACAAATTATTTTGAATCAAATCTGCCTGTTAAATTTATAAACGAGTTAACTTCAATAAAAGTTCTTTGTTTACAATGAGGAACAGGTTTGATTTCCGCACCAAATTGATTTTAGGTCAAACCCTTTCGTGTAAAAGTACATAGTTTGACATATATTGATGTAAAGAAATATGAAAAGAAATAATGAACAGAGTCTTAAAAGTTATGGCCACAACAGCAAGATGATGTTGGAGATATAAATATGTCATTGTACATTTGCTTCCTGCATGGACTCTAGCTGGATTTACATCATCCCTTCAGCTGTCAGCACGTTTAGACAATTTAGCCATAAATTAAAATAACATATATTCTACGGTAAAAAATAATGGCAAGTTTAAATTTACTTTGAATGTTTTGGGACTTACATACCCCCACTGGAGGACAATAAGTTTACAATACCTCAACCCTTGTGAGAATACAGCTACTCACAATCTCAGCTGCTCAATTAAACTACCAATTTTAAAATATTTATCTATTTACAAATCATTTATCAAAATTTATGTAACAATTATATTTCTTTTTAAAATGCAATAATTAAATGATAATTGACGTTAAAAAGATCCCTTGGTGTTATGACTTTGAAATACTTAAGCCTTGTGATGGAAGAATCGTTTAGAATTACATTTTGGAATCTTCAAAGGGACGTGGTTTCTCTATGTTCGGCTGGTAATGAATTCCATAATTATACAGTGTCTGGAAGAAAGGACCTCGCATAATTTAGTTTTACAGTTTATAGTCTGAAGATTTAAATCATCGTGCAGATTATAACCAATCGCATCTGATACTCAAGGCGGTACACGGTTACTAAGACAACTTGGCGTAGTGTTATTGACCATTTTGTAAAACATAGTCATTTTATGATCGTATCTTCTGCGACACAAGGGGTGACAATTAGGTTCTTTGTATATTTTATTATGGCTGGTACCAAGAGCATCAAAATTGATCTTTTTAAGTATATCTGCTTGGTGTTTAGTACAATTGTCCTTTATATGACTGCAATAATCAAAAAATGGTAATGTGAACTGTTTGTACATGGTTTCTAATGGGTTTTTTCGGTTTGAAAGATATTTGAGACTTCTTAGACAATTCACCATTCGTGCAACTTTTCTTGCAATGTCGTTAATGTGTTCATTCCACGGGCAATCATGCTGTAGTATAAGACCTACATGTTTATGGCTTTAAACGTTATTAATGACAGTACATTCAGCTTTGAGATTCTTTGCAATTTACGAGTAAAGCGTGTTGACTCGGTCTTATTGGAATTAAAAGATACTTGCCATATTTCTGCCCATTCAGCAATTCGCTGTAAATCATCGGTCATATCAATATCAGTTACCTTGGGTCATCAGAGAAGGAGTATCATCCACAAGAAGGTGTATACTACTAGTTATACCTTTAATTATATCATATACATACAATAAACAAGAGCAGCCCTAATACTGAACCCTGGAGTACACCCGCAAAGACAGCTCTATTATCAATCTAATTGTGATTGACTTTTCAATTGAAATTCTCCCGACTTGTTATGGTCTCATGATCCCTCCATTAAAGTTTATATGTACCTTTGACATTGTTATCGTACTTATCAACTGGGATAATATTTTGACAATGCACAGTTTGGATACAGTTTATGTGGATAGTATATATACTGCTACACCTCCACCCCATCTCTGTCTATCTTTACTTAATGGCAAATGGAAACCTAGAATTGGTGTGTCAATGCTGTCTACACCATGATGCAACCCTGATTCTTTAATACAAATGACATCATATTATTCCAGCTCAGCCTGGAATATATCTACCTTATCTCTGAGACTCCGTGCGTTTAAATGTATTATCTTAAGATCAGCATTTCCCAATGGTCCCAGATTTGGGTGAACATCACCACAGATCAAAAGAAAAAGAATGATAATAAGGGAAATTTGTTTGCTATTAAGACATAATATAGGAAATGGATACATTTACAGACAGATTTGCTATAAATATGACAAACAAATGAGCCCACCGCTTGTCTTTATTGCATAACATAAATCATTTTCGAAAGTGGAAATACAAGTGTTATGTTGGGTAAGCTCATCCAAAGCTATACAAATTAAACTGAAAACTGTGTATACAAAATATACGCATGACGTCAAGTTATTTGGCATTAGGCGCAATGTTGACACACACAATACAAGTCATTTTAACTTCTGAAAAGCAATGTGTTTTTCCTTGTGTTAAGAAACAAGTTATGACAATAGGTGTCAACAATATAATAAACAACAAGTGTTTGCCACTAACATGGCAATGTTATATGTACGTTTGACAACTTTTATGAATGCTATTGTTGATTTTATTCATTAGTTTATTCAATATTTAATGATTTCCCCGAAACATCGTTACTTTGCTCATTGACAATGTTACTGTGGACCTGCTGCCGAAGCCTGTGTCCGAGAATCATTGTTTTCAATAACATTGCGAAAAATAGTTTACAATTTTAATTCTACCGATAATATATGATCAATTGAAATTTGATAAGTGTTTTCAGACATTTTTATTTGAATGAATAAACATGAATGTGCAATGAGACACTGCCTTGTTTCTTATTCAAACATGTTGTTAATGCTAAAGTGACAGTACGACAGTGAACGTCCCGTGTGCGCCGGCGTCATAAGCTTGACAACGGTACAAGAATCTGTATCGAAACGTTGCACTCACTCAGAAAAAGATGTTGTTATCCATAAAGTTTGTTCTACAATGTACTTCCCAACCTCTAAAATGCCACTCAAAGAAGTCATAAGCGAACTTGCAACCTGCCTAAACCGGCAATCTGTCAAAACCGGCATTTTTATTTGGTCCCGAGTGATGCCGGTATTGACAGAGTACACTGTGCTAGTTTTTATCTTTCGGCCAAGTAGAAGATTACCTTTTGTGTGATGTTAGTTTTAGTCATGGTCAATTCTCAGAATCTGCTCCTATCTCTGAAGATATTTCAGAAATATAGTAGATTTGAATGTACAGATGCAGATGCACATATCCACTGTCAGTAACGGACTGGGACGGGTCCAAATTTTCTACCCGGGTACCCAACCCCCTATTACCCTACCCTACCCTGATACCCGTTATGTTAAATCCTGACAACAAATTAGTAAGAAATGGCAATATATTTTTCAGCTCGGAGGCTTAAATTGGGTGCAACGTCTTATGAAATATCACGTTTACACAAGTTTGAAAAATAGCCAAAGTGTCATGGTGACCTTGAAAATAAGGTCAAGGCAATCTGACGTACGTTTGAATAACTCACGTGCTGCATGAGCATCTGTCACGTGGGGGCATATGCTTGAAACGGTACAAGTATCTATACCGACACGTTGCCATTGTCAAAATAAAGAAGTTGATCATCCATATAGTCTTGTCATCTCTATACCACCAACTTCTAGAATATCACTCAAGCAAATGATTTTGATATAATTTATTGTGCAGGCATATAATCAAAGAACGGAAATATTTCCATAGTAAGTAAGCAAAAGATGTTAGTCTAACCATGTTTGATCAAGATAAAGTGTGCTAATGTAGACATTCAATACATGAACTTTGAATATCTTCATACACACCCAAGATGAATAAACTGTGTATATGCCCAAACTGAATGAACAGAAATGTGAATATGTCCATCTGGAGTAAACACAAAATATTAAGTATATGCCCTAAGTGTTCTGAAAACTAATGGACACTTAGTATCTTTTATGACAGTTTGTCACTATTGTCAGCAGTCTATTCTCATCTCAAGAGACTCCTACATACAGTGAACAGTGACTATGTATTGTTCCTAAACCTTATACTCTACGGAAGAATGGCACCTAATGGAAGAAACGTAAACTGAGGATGGAGTTGATAAGGAACGTTTTCTTTGTGACTGCACAATCGATATTTACAAACTGTCGTTTTCATTAGCATTCACGAGAGCAACAACAGCGAATGGAGGCATATGTTAAACCCACCTACATCAAAATGCCTTACATCTGTTTTAGTGAGTTAGTTAGGTTTACTGACGCTCTAAATAATATGTCAGTTCGATTACATGTTGCCAGCTGATAACTAGCCAAAACTGATCCAGGTTAGTCACGTATCAAACTGATTAAATAACCTGAGTGTGGTTAATATTTATGTACCTCATAGTTCTCATTACGTCCTGGGAGAATGACTTAATATCTCTGAACATCCGGGAGGCTGTTCAAAATGACAACCATATTTTCTCTACAAATTTGTGACTCTAAATAACACGAAAAGGCAACATCAAAAGGACCCCAAAACATAAAATGCAAGAAAGTTGTAGCAAAACCTTAAAGCCACACTGGCCACGGTATGTTCTTGACTAGATGTCCAAGAAA